TAACATTAAACTGCAGGAACCAGAGATTTGTTAGTGTATTTTCATACCTTTATGTTGCTTGCTTATCCTGTTTGACATTAACTAATCTCTATTGTATTGCTCATCATTTTAAACTGATTTGTAGGTGTTCTTCCTATTTTCTAGATTCCAATATTTTGTCAGTTATATTTTCTACTTTCTTAATTTGCATATAGGCTCTTCTCTCATATCTAAGTTCTAAATTTTAATATAGTTAAATTTACATTTTATTTCCCCTTTTCCTTCATTATTTGAATTGATAATATTTTTTGTTGGTATTTGAGTTTATAGTTAAAAATAGTATTTGATGTGACAAAAATTAATCAAAATCTTTTCCTAATTCTTACAGCTCTGACAACTATAAATACTTGGATGTATTTTCTTCATGCTTTAAATATAAAAGGAAATACTTCTAAAGTCAAATTGGATGTGTCTCATAGTTGTGTTTAAAACTATTCCTAGTATTTATCAAGATTTATGAGAAATTTATTAGATAGAAGAAAATGGCAAAATTCCATGCTTTTGACAAGAGATTGATAAAATTTAAACAAATAAGAAAGCAAAAATCAAAGGATAGGGGAAGGAAATGACACCTTTTTGCCTATATAATTTAATTCCTTCAATTTTGCAAAGTCAGTATTATTACCATCAATTTGCAGATGAATGCACCGAGTCTCAAAAAGACTGTATGATTCAGCCAATTAATTCAGCTGCATTGACTCAAAGCTGAGATTTGAACCCAGGGTTTTTTGATACCAAGCCTGAGTATGGACTGCTATATCTCATCTAATTTGTATGTCTCAAGTATCTGACACTTAAAAAAATGGACTGAAAACCAGTGCACATTTATTCCCAGTATCATCCAAGGTTGAGACTTATGTGTAAATTCCCAGCAGAATTCTTGGCACATAGCTTTAATTTTTTGTTTCATGTGGTGCTAAAAGAACAAAAATAATAAGCAAATACTTTCTAGCACTTCATGAAGTCTTATCTTGGTTTTACATACCTATAATATTATTGGAAATGACATTCTGCTTTTTTATATTTAATTTTTTTTTAATGGCAGGCCAAGGTTTTTGTGCAGTTTGATTGAAAGGTGTCAAATGGGACTAAATAAAGGTGTAGGAAAACATCACTCTGGTGATGCCAGAACTCCCATCAGAAATCTCTGCAAGCACTTTTAGCTTCCATCCTGACAATCTGAATTTCAACTATGTTCATCCTTCATGATATATTTAGAAAATTGGCTGCAGAATATTATTAAGACAGTTATTGGGTTCTAAACATTTTAGAACTCTGTAAATTTGCTCACTGATAATTTAGAATGGTGTTGAGAAAAATTAAATAGTGTTGGCACTCATGAGTTCATTAAGGATGTGTATGGTCTGAATGTTTGTGATCACCCCAAATTCATGTTGAAATCCTAACTCAGGTAATTAGGCTATGGGAACAGATTCCAGGAATGGCATTAAAGCCCTAACAAGAGAAACCTGAAATAGAGCCTGCCCTTTCCACCACGTGAAGATACAGTAAGGCAACACCATCTGTGAATTGGAAAGTAGATCCTCACCAGACACCAAATCTGCTTTGATCTGTTGGACTTCCAAGCTTCCATGAGAAATGAATTTATGTTGTTTATAAGCCAACCAGTTTATGTTTGTTTTAGCAGCCCACATGGAAGAAGACAGTGTGGTAGACTAAAAGTGATCCTATAAGATTTACAAATTGCAGAACACACTTCATAAGAAATTAGGTATTTTTGAGTTCACAATCAGTCCAGTGAAACCAGATCATGCTAAAAAGGCTGGTTTTCTATGTTCTACTCAACACTGAAGATGTGGCTGAGTGGGAACAGTTGGCTAGAAATGGCACCTAATGAGACCACCAACTGCTGTTACAATAAGAACAGCTACAGGCATAAGATAGTTTCTCAGCTGCCCTGGGGACTATTGCCTGATTAGCTTCTCCATGAATGGCATTTATATCTTTGGAACTGCATGAGTTTAATTTTGCCAAGAATGAATGTCTAAGTATGCAAGAATTAGATAATGGCAGTCTTGGGATGTTATTTAAGATTGAAATAGTATGAATTTATACATACACATCAGTTGAAGGGAGTGTATGAATCTTGTAGGTTTAAAATCTGTGGAAAATAAATCATTTTTTGAGATCTTGTATCTCTCCTCATTTTTCATAGATCTTGTATCTCTCCTCTATAATTATTTGGTGAATTGATGATAGATGCAAGGAGACAAAAAGGAATCAAATTATGGCATTAGTTTTATTAATGGTCAAGCCAACGTGGAGGATATGGCTGGAGTTTTTAGAATCTAAGAATCTAGAAAGCAAGATTCCATTTACTTGCTCAGGGATAGCTAGAGAGGCTGGAACTGCACAGAAGATAGCTCAATGGCTCAGGGTAAGAGGTAGCTGAGACTGGACACGAGGCATTCCAAGTGCCCATACCCCATCCACTTGTATGTCCACCAATACTAACCTCTCATCACTTACACCAAACAAGAACAACAGAACACACACACACACACACACACACACACACACACACACACACAGAGCTTTGCCATCAAATACAGAAAAAACTGCTGCTTTTGGTGACCTGGAGATATTGTTTATTCTAAGGAATTATATTTTAATTAAAGGTAAAGAATTCCTTTATCGTAAATACTTTTAGTTTCCCTGCAGATTAATAGAAGAAATTTGTTCCATGGAAAATCAACTGACTGTAAATATACAGGGCTAAAAGGACAATTTCAACAACAGCAGTAACAATATCAACAAAAGCCAGTGAATTTTATTCTATATAATATTTATTATGGAAAGTGAAATGCAAAAAAAAATCATATTCTAATTTTTTTTGAGGGTGAAACTAAGTCATAAATTGAATTTTAGTATTTTAACATCCATTCAAAATCAAATTTGAAATGAAGGTGGGAGTACATTTAATCCAAAATCTTTATTTTTTTCTTGTATAAATCATAACATTCTTTTTTTTCTAGGAAATTAAATTTTATTGGCCAATATCTGGGGTATGGGAACTTGCTTAAATAAACCATTTTATCAACCGTGTACATAGACATTATGTCAAGACATAACTTTAGCTTCTAATATTTGGTACATTTATAAATAGACTTTCTATTTTGAATATTTTTATTTCTTTACTGATTGAATGTTAATGTTTTGGTCTTTCTCAGCTGAGTATTTACATACAAACGATTCTCATATTAACAGTTATAATTTTTTTGGGTGTCATTTAAATTAATACATTTTCCAAAATTACATAAATTCTTCTTTTACTCAACAACAAATATTGACAAACATCAAGATTTTAGGTATGTTTCTCCTATAAACAAGTATATTTGTATTAGTTAAAAAACATTGCCAGCTATAGCTGTACATGTAGTGTTTATACTTGGTTAAGCTTTTCTTTTTATCTAGGTTAAAAAGATGGCGCATGATTCTCTAAAACATGAATATGTATTTAAATGTTATTCTTAACTCTTACTGAGAGGTGGTTATATTTGTACTTTTCCAAATGAAATTCTTTATCAAGGGGGTGATTGTGGTGTTTCCATTCATGTCTTCAGTAACCAGTTTTGTGTTGAGAAATCAGGGTCAAATGCTATTAGGCTTTAGGAACCAAATCAGACCTTTTGGATCCCTAACAGACCATTTTGTTAAGAAATGAGAGAAATTTGAACAATATAAATTCACAAATTAGAATTGTGATAAGTTGAAAAAATCTTGTCCAGTGTTAACACTTACCCACTCATGACATGAGGCATTCTAAGTGCCCGATACTCCATCTACTTGTATGTCCACCAATACTAACCTCTCATCACTTTCACCAAACACGGAATCTCTGATTTTCAACAAAAGTAATTTAGTTTTTGAGTCCTTCTTAAGGAACTCCCAATTACTCATAGTTTATTATTCTACTGACACCACAGAAGCCTTTGACTTCTCTTTGGTGTTAGTAAAATTTATTTAGCTGATTCCAAGAGAATAATGCCTGAAACTGTCTTCCATTTTGAGTGATTATACATGCTTTTGAAATCTAGGCATATAATTCTGAAAAAATGTAGGGCTTTTATTAGCCTGCACAAATAAACACATTGATATATGTCCAGATGGAGTCTCCCAAACACAAGAGGTTTTGCCTAGTGTTTGTCACGTCTGGATATAAAATGAGGTGTTCAAAGACAGCATTAATATTTGGAAGCTTCTCAGGTACCAGGTTCAGTAAGATGCCAACTTGATTTTTATAACCCAGAGGGCTGACCCTTTCCTAAACATGAAATCTGCTACCAGAAAGAAACACCACTCAAAGGGCAGCATTGGGGTCAATATTAATTATTGTAAAACAGAAAAGGAGTGTTGTAGCTTTCAATTAGTTGTTTTGTGATTTATTCAAATATACCAGTTTGAGTATGATGCATTTGTGTGTGCATATATAAATGTGGATAAGCTATTTACAGTTATGCCATGTATACATTTTTATGTGTAGAAAGTGAAAATACCTATTGATTAGCCCTTTTGAGGCTTTTGAACAACTGTTTCTTCTTCCTGCTTTCCTGCAACTGCTCTGAGGGTTTAGATAATTCATACAAGGTATGTACACAATCACACCCATAGTATGTACATCCTAGTCACACACTTAGCACACAGAGGATGTGTGAGGAATGTAAATCTTCCCAGTGGTCAAAGAACTGACCTTACCTGTGACAAACAGCATGGGTAATTAGCTCTGGCACATTTAGTAACATGCCAGTGTACTGATTACTGTATTCAGCCTTTGTGATAATTATGGTATCTATTCTCGGAGATGAAAAAGAAGCAAAACAAAATAGCCCTTTCTGACCTTGGAAAATGAAAGGACGAATTCCATTATTGAACACGGACGCATGCTTGTGTGGCCTTTATTCACTTTCATAGATATGCCTACCTGACAAGAAGAGTCAGCCTTTAAATGGGATATGGCATGTTATTTATTTTTTTTCTACACATAAAAATAGCAAGCCAATCACTTACAGACTGTATACACTTATGGAATGCACTGACATACCACAGCAGCAACGCCATTATGCACAACATATTGTTCACACATTAGTACAGCAGAGATAAATACATTGAGAAATTTAGTAATTGCTAAGAGATATTTTTTTTTGAGTTGTCAGGTCATACTGACCTCTTTCAACCTCGAGAGAAAGGTATCTCTAGATGCCCTTAAAGTCAGAAACAGTCTCTCCTCTCTTCCTGGGATTGAGGAGTAAGATCATAATACTGCAATCTCCAGATTTACCAGCATCATTTTAAGACATGATAGAAAACAATTTGCTCATAAGATGTGGTTGAAAATAAATGCTAAGGAATCTAAACTAAAATCATTAAGGATACTGATTAATATGGGTAAATCCCTTCTACTCATTTTCTATAGTTTGCTCTACACATAGCCTTTACTGTTATTAAAAGCAGTGATAGGAATCTGAAAGAATTAACTGTTAAAAAGGTTTTTTTTTCCTAAAGAAGAGACAATTTAATTTTTAAAGTAACAAAGAGCAATACTAGCAATAATGTCAAAAAGTAAGCTATAATTTTCTCCCCAGAAATAAATTGATGACATCTCCACATATTAAAAAATCAAGAAAGAAGTTAGTATTTTTATCCCATTTAATTTTCCCTAACATACTTAAATCAGTAGGGTATCTCTTATAATTATCACCTTATTGGTTGATTACCAGTATCTTTTTCCAAAGAAAAAATATGTGATTTTAATACTTTTTTTTTTGCAGCCAATTAATCTTTTGAACTTCAACCCAGAAAGACACTTGAAGAATTGGTATTTAGAAATAACCATCTGGAGCATCATTTTCTGTAAGGCATTATTTGTGGCCCCTTTGGATACAGGTCCTCATGTTTTAGTGACTTTACATCTGGGAACCCATTTTTCATAGCTAAGATGGGCGATCCTCTGGGCAGAGTTGACAAAATTGCTTTTGAACGTGCTAGGGTCCAGGAAGAGGAATTACCATAAGTTTATCCCCTTCACATGACAGAAGTTTCTGGATGGCGTTGTCTTGAGTTTTAAGACAGCAAACCTTTTAGTGGCTCCTCTTCTCTCTTGGCTGGCATGAAAACAGACATATTGCCTGTGTCTCTACTTATGCTCACTAGTGCTACACCTCTTTATGGAATTCCTAAACAAGTTTACTCAACAAGAAAGCAGAAATTATGCCTTCATTTCTTTTATCCTCTGGGTTATAGTCAAGTCTTTGTAGAGCAAACCATAGTTATATAACAGTGTGCCTGTAACAGATGCACTTGCTGGTATAACTGCCTCTTTTTGGCACATTATTGCTTGGCTTTAATTTCATATTCAACAGTCTTTATTCTCGTGATTAGTATCTGAGATATCTGTTTAAAAAAAACTGTAAATAACATCTTGTTGCACCATTCTGGCCCCCAGAGTCATTTCACCAAATCTCATGGTTATTTGAATGTCTTTTATATTATCATCACCTTAATTTTCCCAGTAGCCCAAAAGTAATATTTCAGGACTCTTTGTTGTTTCCATCTACACATATATACAGGTGTATTGGATTTACTTTGAGAGAGGTTATTTGGTTGTGGCAAGTGAGTAGTTTAGCTGGTGAGTATTCACAGTTAAAAGTAGCTGTGATGACCTCTGGCAGATGTCACTGATTACTTGTGAGACAGAATTTTTCCAATCTCAGTTCATCCTTATTTATATCCTTGGTCATTGCTTATTCAATTTCTGTAGCCAAGGAGAAAACTTTTTTTTCCCCCCAAGATCAGGATAAAGTTCATAGAAATTTGTTTCAGTATTTATAAGACTATTTTTTTCCCTTTTGCAAAAGTGTTCAAAATTGTGTTGTTATTCTTAAGCCCATGTGTCTGCACAGATGACATTTGTAATTACTGAGCCAGTTGCAGAATTTCATTAAGGAGGATACAGTTACAGGATGGACAGGAGATTCAGTAAACTGCCTGTTATTTGCCAGGTGGCAGCAGCTAACCTACATTTGGAGAGAATCAACCCAAAGGGCTACATATGACATTGAGAAACACTGCTCACAGAAAACAAAATGCTCAGATGAATGTGAAAAGCAAAAGTTGGAGTGGATGTGGAGACTTCTGATTCACTGGGTAGACAAAACAAGGGCTGGACAAGGTGATCCGCTCACTCATCTCAGATGCTGCTGAGCTCACTGTGTTATCACAGAAGGAAACTCACAAGCTTCGTTTCTCAAACACCACTCAGGACAAAGGAGGAGAGAGTACACAGCTTCATCTCCATGGAGCATTGTGGAGAATTAGTCAATCAGGCAGGTACGAGGTCTATACAAGTCTACAGGTGCCCAATTTTCAATAAGCACACACGCACACAAGTACACACACACATATATGCAAACCTATCCTAATATATTATTTTTCTTTATACTGGTTCTGGAAAAGTTCACAAGGAATATGGTGAATTCCGTGGTACCAGAGGTGGACAATTTCTTTAATACTTGCACAATATGTAGGAGGAAAAAAAGACAATAATTCCTCACATTTTGGCAACAAAACAGTAATAGAGTGAATATAGCAAAGGCCAGACAAGTTACATTAACAGCACATTGTATATATCCTCTGTAAACAAATTTTAAAGTCACTGTTTATTCTATTCTTGGTGTTATATATATACAACCATTCCCAGCATGGCAGAAATTCCCTAAAATGAAAGGAATAATATTAGTATAAGCTAGGAATAGTAAAATCTCAATACTTTGGGATACAACCAAATGACAATTTCTTCTTTTGCTTTTTCCCTTAAGGTTGCAAGATTTGGTTTCAAAATCTAACCTGTAGGGTTTATGTTACATATATGTACTCAGTCCTATTTATTTCAATTTTTATGTTTAACTTATAACATGGAGAATATTTGTACCCCGAATAATGAGTATCAGATGATTCTCAAGACTAAAAAATTATCAAAGGTCAAATTATATTCAATATAGTGGAATTTATAAGGTAGAAAACATAGTAATCCATTTTACCAACACTTCATTTTGGACACAAACAAAAAGGTTTCTGGTTAACCTCTACTTAAAAATATTCAACTTATGCTACTAATTCAAAACAGAAAGGTTAATCAGGATTTTATTGTATATAAAGTAGCTAGTCTGTGGCATCAAAAGCCAGTAATTCAAAAAGACATGATTAGAAAGGCATTCAAGATAAACATGTGGCAGTGAAGCAATGCTATTTTTCTTATGATAATAAACCTAGAAAAATTAATACTTAAATAAAAATTCTAGTGTTCATTTGGTAAGTGGTATAACATCTTCACACTTTAAATGTTGAATGACCTGCCAGACACTAAGTTCTAACTCACTTCTTTTATTACTGGCTTAGGGATATTTTCTATTTCTCAATTGAATAAAATATTTCCTCTCTAAAAATCTAAAAGTAGAGTGTATTAAAATGGACAAATCACATTAAAAGAAATTAAGGACAAACACAAACAACTTTTAACTCAGTGGGTATCATGCAGGTGAAGCAAGGAATGATTGAGCAAGTTTAAAGTCCACCAGGATTATATTATATTTCAACTTCCTTTGTTGAATGAATCCAAGACATCCCAAATGACATACTAAATACCTAATTCTGTGTCACAGACTGATGTAAGGAAGAATCTCAAACATGGTTTTATTTTGAGAGTAGCTTAGGGTAGGTACTAAAATGTAAAAAACACTATCTTAAATAGCCTCCCATCTCATATATCTATTTGATGACATATTCCTGTTACTGTTTCTAAAAGCTGCTAGTTCTATAAAATTTGATAAGAACAAAACAAACAAGGTTTTGAACTATCTTATGACCATTTGTAGAGTGTTGAGAAATCAAGAATTTAGTTCTAGCACCAAAGAAAACCAAACTTACTACAGCAAACATTTTTGATTAAAGTTTTAGTTTGAGAGGCACAACTACAATACCAAATTGAGTGGTTCTGATTAACAATGTGTGACAAATACCAATGTTTTTCTCTTAGATCTCTGCTTCATCTCATTATTTATAAATCGTGTGGTTACTCTAATCTCATGAAAGTAAATATTATTGCCGGATTTTGAATTTTTCTTCTCTCCTATGTTAATACAGGAACAGCCTGTTCTAGCCACTTCACAGCAGAGGATTACCTGGGGCCCACCTATCTGGAGTAGGTGCTGTTGACAGCTGCTCCTGTGTGCACAGGGTGTACTCTGTGTATACACAGCAAAGTGTGCCATCATGTGATAGAAATGGCCAGTGAGAAAGAGGAGACAGAATAGTTGTGGCCAAGTTATCTGAGACAAATAGGTGCTTAAGTCCAGAAGAGAGAATTTTAGACTTAATCTCTAATCATTAAATGTAATTTGATGATAATTTCTACTTTAGATAGTGTTCTTAAAAGAGGCCAATGAGTAAGAAACTAAAAAATGTGCCTTATTAAAAAATTCATCATAAGTTCCAAGCATAACAACTGTAATTACCATTCTCAGGCTCCAAGAAGGCTGTCACTGTGGTCTTCTTATGCAGGCTGTATATACGGCTAAATTGCTTTGAAAGAAATCAAAGCTTTTTAGTAATTTAGTTAGTTCCCAGTGTAGGTTGCACACAGGGTAGAGTTTAGGTATGATTTTTCCCCCCTCATGTTCAGAACCTGCAAAGAAGAATTAAATTGAAATAAGCTAAAACAGATAATGGGAATTGACTGTACCAATGGTATTTGAAGAAAATTGCATGGTCAAATATTCTTTTTTTTGTCTCATCTGGGGAATGAGTTTAGAGAAGGCAACCAGTACCACTCCAACATCTAGCAGTCAAATTTTCTAAGGGCAAGATGGAGGCCCTATGATGAATCCAGGAAGGGAAGGGTTCCTAGGGCCTTGACTAATGCATTCTTCTTTCCATTAGTCAAAGAAAGCAGCTGCTGGTGGCCTCTGGCCAGTGTCTTGGAGGATGCCCCTATGTTTCAGGGATACCCTCCTCTTCTAGAGAGGAGTGAGTGCTGAGCTCAGATAGATGCCAATGTTCTCAAGGAATATCCTACTCCAAACTCAAACCATGCTTACATTGACCTCTTTTTTTGTTGGCTTTGAAGGTTGAGATATGATGGTATTTCTCTTAAAATCAAAAGTATAAAAAAGTTACCTATTTTTTTTTTTTTTACTCCAGATGATAAACAGGTGATATTTGTCTACATGTAAGAGAACTTCTGTTCCCTTTGGTGTTGACCACATTTGCTGTTAGAAACTACTGAACCAAATCAAAAGAAAGCCAAAAATTTTATGCTGTTTACATGAATACAGATGAAACATGTAGTTTTTGTTACTTAAAGGCTCTTCCTTTTATCAACACAGATAAAACAGATTTTGGTAATCTGCTATTTATAATTCCTTTCCAGAACCTTATAATTCAGTAGAATATCACTGGAGAACTTCTGTATCACATAAAATTTACTATTATCTCTCATGTGATGACTCTTCTCAAGAATCTAGTTCCATATGCCTCCTTTAGGGTAAGAAAATATGAATTCAATTTGGTTAGCCTCACAGAGATGCACCTTGCCTTCTGTGCAGGAACATGTGTATATGTAAGTCCATGTTGGATGTAATTGGACAGTATTCATATCTAAAGCCTTAGCTAATTCTCCTCACATAACTTATATTTTCTAAAAGCTATACAAGGTGTATGAAAAGGGCTATCTGCAGATGTTTTCAAATACTAATTCATATTTGGTATTTTACATATGTAAAAATTTTGTCTCAAATTTTTACATTACGGTTCTTATTACCTACTTAGATTTTGTGTGGTAACAGCATTCTTATTTCAATAGGACTAGAAATCATAACGTTTTTGCTAATAGTGTTTTTGCTATTTTTAATATAAAGTAGGGATTTTAATGCAAATACCATCATGTGATACACATTGAGGCAGTAATACAAAATGACGCATGTATAACGGTATTGTTATTTCTATAAGCAATGTCATAGTTTAAAAAAAAAACAGTGAATATGATTTCCACTTAATTAGGGTTGCAAATCTGCAGTGAAGCTTGCTTCTCTTGTTCTTTCTTTCCCATTGAAATGGCATCTTTATTTATGAACCCTCCAGGGATCCCACGATTTTTAATAGCAATTTCCTATAGTTAATACTTGCTTTTTCTTCTTGGTCTCTCAGAAAACAACTTAGGCTTTGACATAGACAGACACATATGATACCATATGTGCATACGCGGACCCCCACCCCCCACCTCCATAGGTGTCCCCTTTCAATCTAACACAGAAGAAGGGGCAGGGCGAACACAGCAGTTGGGGCGACGGAAGTTCTGCAGCATGGATTGGAAAACGCTGTGCTGCCTCCCTTTCAGCTTCTTATTGGAGGAAGTGTCTGAGGAAATGGATCTCCGGGTCTGGTCGCTTTGCGTTTTGATTAATTTCTCATGTTCCCGAATTTGTCTCTGTAAGTGGTTCTGGATGGCGATCCCCAGGGACTCCGGGTCCAGGGAAGCCCCGTACACTTCCCAGGTCATGCCCTGCTCGTCCCACACCACGTCCTTGACCCGCTTGGACTGCTTCAGCTGGAGTTTGGCCTCTGTGCTTAGCTGCTTTTTCTTCTCTCCCGGTGTGAGCCCCACCTGAGCAGCAGCTGCTGTCACGTTCAACTCCTTGAGGAACTCGCTGACCCGGCTGGCCCGGCGAGGGCTGGCTTTGACCGAGCGAGAAGGGGTCCTCTTGCCAGAACCTGGGCTGGAGTCCCCCATGGCGTCCGGGGGTAGGCTCAGGCTGGTGGCTGTCTTGCTCTGTCGGTTTTCCTCTAAGACGCCCTCCTGGTTCTTTCTGTTTGGGGAGGGTATGGGATTGGCAGCTGATCCTGAGCCTCCGTTTTCTTGAGCTTTGGGATTGAGCAGTAGGGTTTTGGCATCTAGAGCATCGGTGCCCGCAGGCTCCTTTTCTTTTACTATCGGAGGAGACTTGTACTTTGTCTCCTTTGGACCTCCTTTACTCGTGGCCTCCAAACTCCTGGACTGGTCCTCTTTGCTCTCAGGGCTGCAGGAGTCCGATCGTTTGTAGTCTGGATCAGTCTTGTGATCAGATGTCTTGGCTTCAGAGGTCCCCAGTTCCTGGTTTATTCTAGACTGACTACCTGCACTGCTAGAAATCTGGTCAATGGGGCTAGCTTTCAGGGAGCTGGAATTAGCATCTGAAAGCTGTCTAGAGGTTGACTCTTCCCTCAATGGAGTCTCTTCTGCTGGTCTCCCATCTTCTTTACAAGTCTCCTGGGCCTGACGGCAGGCCCTGCTGATGGGTGAGGTCTTCAGGATCTGCTCTGGTAGGCTTACTCCTTTAAGTTCCCCTTGGAAAGCTGTAGAGACAGGTGCAGCTGTCTGGATGTGCACCTGAGCCATGATGCCACAGCCCTGCCCTGCCTCCTGGGGGGCTTGTATGCTGTTAGAGAGCTCCAACATGTGGCTGCCAGTGCCACTTCCCTGGCAAAGGACACGCAGCTGCTCTTGATGTTCCAAGCACTCAGCAGCAGGGGTTTCCTTTAAGAAAGCCGCCAGGATGCTGGGGCTAGTGGAGACCGATCTGCTTTCCACGCTGGCCACCGCCTGCACCTCGGCATCTTGACGAACCTTGCTGGGGGCCTCCTTGATCTCACTTTCAGCTTGGTTGGTCATGGTACTGGCTTCTTTGAACCTCGACACCTGTTGTGTTGGCCGCAGTGCCTTCTCTGGATCTAGTGTATGTGATGAAACTTCTCTAGCGAGATGGGATAGCTGAGGTGTCCCACATGATGTACCTTGGGTGTCTGAGGCAGTGGCAGATGGTTGTTTGTTCTCTGAACATCCATCTTCTCTTGCTGGAGGCTCACAGGACCTCGTTGCGGAGTGGCAGATGGCTTGCTGCCTGTCCCCTTCAGGCCCACCTGCAGGAGGGGAAGAATGACTGAACACCTCGGCTGCTGTGCTCTGTACCATTCCCTGAATCGTTGCTTGAGAAGGAAAATCACAGGATGCCTGATCTTTGCTGCTGCCACAGGTGCCCCCTGCAGGACAATTTGACTTCTCCGTTTGGGCTCCATTCAAGGTTCTCGGAGATTTCACCAAGGAATCTTCAGGTTCTGATGAGGCGCTGGCATTGGGCCGATCACCTGGGATGGCCTGGTGGGTGTGCTGATTGGCTGGCATTGTAAATGGTCTGTGTACAAGATCCTTTGCTGCCGTAGGGCTCGGGGCTGGTGCTGTGGGCTCTCTGCTTTCCAGCAGTTGGGGATCTCCAGGAGAATTGTGTGTGGGAGATGCTTTCTCCACCTCATTGAAGACACCAGGAGCAGACATGTCTGGTTGGGTGGTCTCATGCTCACAAGCCTGCATCATGGCCTCAGCAGCAGTGCTGGGGCTGAGGCTTGGTTCTGCAGGGGCACTTGCCAGGCCATTGGTATTCTTTCCCGGTTGAGCTGGTCGGCACTGAGATAAGGAAGCCTGCAGCTCTCCTTGAGCCTCCTCTTTTAAAGAAGCTGCAATCAGGGAAGTTTTAGTGGATCTCAGAGGATCAGGTACAGTCCCCATGGAATTTCTTTCCAAAAACACGCCAGAGCTCTCCCTTGAGTGGTGTTCCTGCTGGAAGCAGTGGGAGTTCAGAGTGAAGAAGCAGTGGGAGTTCAGAGTGAAGACACAGTCAGAGATGATTCCTCCGAAGAATCAGCCTGGGGATCAAGGAAATAGTACTGTTAATACAGCACATCATTTAAGTACTAACAGTGTACACAATTGCCATTTTTATAAGATCACATAAGCACATTGGCCTTTTCTTCTTATATCTGTGGCTGTAAAAATAGACCTTGGAAAGAAAGATTTTGACAAAAATGTTTTAACTTTACAAATATTATTTTGATACTTTAGCTTCTACTTGTACCCAAACGCTTTCTAGAAAATAGGTTTTTAGTGTAAGTACTTACATCTGATAACTACTTTAAAAGTCATTTGTATAATCTAATTTGCCAGAGATCAGAAAATTGTGTAAAGCTACTATAATTATATCAGCAAGTATTGAAATAAGACCAAACTTTATATCTGAGATAGAATATCAAGAAATAGATCAAAATGTAAATTTGAATTTAATATATGCCAAAAAGCATATATTTTGATTTAGTGGCAAAAGGATAGACTACTTAATAGAAGGTGCTGATAAACTGCTTATTCATCTGGAAGAAAAAAAAGAGTTTTTATCTTGTAGCAATTATAAAAATAAATTGTATATAAATGGATCAGAGTTTAAAATAAAGAAATAAATAAAATTTGTAAGAAAATCTAGAATTCATCAATATAGGGATAGGACAGTTGGTTATTTTTAGACAAGGCAGAAACAATAAGATAAAATATAAATATAGGTGACTAAAATTCAAAACTTTTGCATGATAAAAGATGATAGATTTGAGAATTTGTTAGATTATGTAATATAGCAAAAGGTTTTAAAAATTAAAAGGAGACCAAATAATCTGTTGGAAAAAGTTGGGTAAGGAATATGAAAACACAACTGAGAAGATAAGAAATCCAAATAACCAAGAAGCTTATAAAAGGATGATCTAATTCATTTTTGATCAAATAAATGCAGATAAATTAATGAGATTTTCTTTTATGCCAACTGCACTTGGAAAAACTTAAAAAAAAACCCAAACCAAAAATAGTCTTATAATACAGTGAGACCTGGGGAGATGTAGGGAAAGCAAGTATTTTTACTAATTTTAAGTGAAAGTTTTAAGTGTATTGCTATAGCTTTTTTTAAGGAAGCAGTTTAGTTTTTAAAACTAAAAATGCACACGTCTTTGATCCTGTGATACAATCTCTATCAAAAGAAATAAAAACACCAGTCTATAAAGAGATAGGGATAAGTAGGTTTGTTTGTTTATTTATTTATTTTTGGTACTGGGGATTGAGCCAAGGGGCACTTAGCCACTAAGCAACATCCCCAGCCATTTAAAAAAAAAAATTTAAACTGAGTCTTTCTAAGATGCTTACGGCCTCTCTAAGTTGCTCGGGCTGGCTTTGAACCTGTGATCCTTCTGTCTCAGTCTCCCAAGCTGCTGGGATTGCAAGGGTGTACCACTGTGCCCAGCAGGATAAGTGTGTTTATTCAAATGCTGTTTGTAGAAGAAAAAACTGGAAACATGAGTGAGGGAATGGTAATTTGTAACGAATAACAGGTGCCTACCTTAAAGTACTAAGCAACAATCAAAACAAGTTAACTGATTAGGTTCTAACTTTTCACTTGGGGAGGATTTTCCCAAGATATGGGTACATGAGAAACGTAAGGTACAAAAAAGGGCACATATATTTTTATTTCTGTAAAAACAATTACCTAAGACACTTCATCTGCATGTACATGCACACACACACACACACATACAGAAGGTTGTATGTGATTATATAGATTCTAAAAAAATTTAGAATGAGACATATCACTTATTTATTAAATGAAGGAGGAGCGATGAGTTAGGTACAGGGAGGGATGATGGAGGTCCCCAAAGTGGGAAAGTGATGAATTTTTTAAAACCTATCTGATATAACCTGGGGTATATGCTTATGTAAAATTATATATACATTTATGTGTAAACATTTTTAGAAAGGATAATTTGATATTAAGGCATGCGGATAAAGCCACGGATCAGAAATTAGTTTAATATTATCTCTATCACTAAAAGGCTATGTTACCTCAGACTAATCACTTAATCTCTCTGGGTCCCAAATTAATTCATTGGCAAAGTGGATTATAAGCTTTCTAAGGGCTTTTCCAATTCCAGCATTCAAAGTTCCTACTTCTTCGCATGTGATTGATGATACGTTAAACAATCTTAATTTGGGCTGCGAAGTATCAAAAGAAGGCAAAGTCCTATCTTGTTTGGCTCAGATTTTGAAAGTACAGAAATTTTATTTTTGATTCAATGCTATTTGACTGATCTTGTATTGTATGAAATCTAACGATAAATCAAACATTTTCTTCTGCAAACTAGTTTATCTTGTAACATCATTATTCATATTAATGGACTAAATATTTTTTCCATTGTTGGTCTTGACTGCTTTCTGCTCATTTAAACTACTCTTCTAGGTTTCTATTCCACTTCTCCTTTCTCTAGTTTTCTATTCATTTACTGTACCCCAAGCCACTTTCCCTTTCTCTCTCTTTTGCATCTGTGTTGATCATTTGTTTCCTCCTACTGTTAGCTTTCCTTATCCTAAAAAGCCCACTGATTCTTCAAGGTCCCACTTGAACCCCATTTCTTTTCTGAAGTTCTGTAAAGGCTTCAAATCAAAGATTTTATTTTTTAAAAACTCCTACAAGTCGGTCAGCTTGTTCTTCGTCTTGTGATTTTCATGTTCTGTTTTTGTACCATTCTTATCTATTTAAGTGTCCTATTTCTCTACAAATATTAAAAAGCCCCAGGAAGGCAGGGAGATGCTTATTGATTCTTTTCTGCTTACTCCACAGGATACAGTGCAGGGTTTTGTGCATAAAAAGTTGTTAATTGATCCTGTTTTCCTCTAAAATGGTCATTATTAAAAGCCCTGTTAAACTCCAAAGTAACAGGAAATATTTAGCCATGACATAAAATATTAATGGAACCACAATTAAAAGGAATAATATTTTTGGAAGTAAGAAAGTGGTAGTATCTTATTTATTTTAAGTTTTGTGTATCTGGAATTCAAGTTTAGACAATTTAAACCAAGAACACCGGACACCTGCTATGAAAAGTTGGTAGTTCTCATAAAGCCAAGGGTACAGCCTGTCTCCTATGTTACATGGCCGGAGCCCAGAAATCCTGTTTGCCAAATAGGACTGTAAAATAGAAACAGCACAAAGTTCAGCAACAGAAAATGAAAAGACTTTGATGAGATGACTTCATAAAATCCTCAGTCATTGTGTTTGCTTCCATTTCCCACACACAGCTGAGCGTGTTAGTTTAACTTTGCAAGGGCGTTTTCTTTCATTTGCTTTGCTAATAGAGATTAAATGATCCATCAATTTAAGAATCAAGAAACAAAGTCCAGATTGCTTGCCTCACACCTCTTAACTTGAAATCTATTGATTTATTAGTAGATAAGAAGTCATCACTGGTCTCAAACATAGCTGCTAATGGAATCATTGCAGCATCTATATGAGTCCAGGAGACACTCTTCTATGTTCCAAAACTACTTCTCTCTCCTTTTCCCTCCCACACCAAATAGGTAAAATCTACCTTTCCCTTGGAGCAGACACACCAAATAATTAAAAGGAATTATATGGTGGTTCAGAGTGAGGAGTATACAGCTTTATCGTCAACTAGACTCCATTAAAAATTAGATTTAATGACTTTAAAGAATAAGGTTGGGGGCTGGGTTTTAGCCCCTGTGGTAGAGTGCTTACCTTGCATGCATGAGGCCCTGGGTTCCATCATCAGCATGACATAAAAATAAATAAAAATAAAAAAACAAATAAAAATAAAGATATTGTAAAGAAAAAAAAATAAGGTTGCAAACAGGTAGCCTCCAGACTAAATAAATTTCTTCGATAAGGGTGTGCATGTGTTTGTGTGTGTGTGTGTGTGTGTGTGTCCTAGATGGTTTTTCCTTCCCTTTCTTTTCCTTCTGAACTGAAGTGATCTTGCATAAAAATACAGATTTTTCCCTGTGTGCTTCTATTTCAAAATTTCAAACTTTGCATCTCTAAATGGAAACAACTAGATGGCACTGAGAAGGGCCTCTTGATGGCATAGACACTCCAAGTGGCCCATGTCCCCCCAGGATCCTGCTTTGCTCATTAATATTAGGAAAGTCCTATATGCAGCTGAGTTTGTTCCCTAAGGGTACTGACAGAGTAGACTTCCCTGTCTGATGTCCATTCAGTCCCCTAAGGGCAGTTTGAATTGGAGCTCAAGAACACAAACTTGGGGAGGCTCCCCTGAGTTGGAGTACTAGTTCCACTACCCAGCTTTATCTCTGCGGGCTTGCATAAGTAACCTTCCAGGGAACAGTTTCATCTATTAATTAAAGATAATGATGATAATACTGCCTCAATGCATTTTCATGAGAAACAGGCTTAGCATTTAGAAGAAATAGCATCTTGGCACATAGCATGCACTATGTAAGTGTTACCCTCTTTTAAAAACCTCAATATTTAAGCGTTGTTCTGTATTAAAGAAGAAATTATTTGGATATATGTTAAAACAGAAAAAGGAAGACTTTAATCAGGTCTCTCACAATTAATGTCAAGATGATCACAATAGGGGAGAGAGAGAATGGGCTCAAATCCAAATATGATAAGAATATGTAGGTATTTTATAGCCAAAGAACAGTTTGAGGGGGTTCATGGACAGAAAATTACTAAGATGAAACATTAAGGGTAGGGGCAGTTTTATGGATTGTATAACAAGTTTCTTGGTGAAGGTAGACCAGCTGATCAGGTATCTGTGATGAGGGATTCTAAGTTGGTTTAGCAGGGCTCTGCAAGAATATCCTGAAGCCCACAGTTGAAACAGAGTAACAGGAGGGCTCAGAGGAGTCTGACTAAAGTTTGGTCTAGGAGACAGTCTTTGTCACCTGCAGCAATAAATAGGATTTTCTTATAAGGTTGTCTGTAGCCTTACAAATCCTTCCCAAATTAGGCAAAAATCACACAGAATCTCCAGGTATCTCAAAGTGAGTCTGTATTTAAGTAAAGGGAACTGTGTTT